ATCTTGGGGAAATAGTCTTGGATGAAAGAGCTTGCTTAAACATTGTAAGTGACGTGGTGAGAATACGTCAAGATTTAGAAGTTTATGGGGAATGGACTAGCTTTATATATGCTAGAATCTTTCGGAGTACTCAGGCTCAGAGAATTGATACAAAGAATGACTGTGAGGGGTCGCAAACCTGTCTGTCTATAGAGACGCTGCACTTCTACTCATGGTTCTCGTTTAGGTGCATTTCCGTATGTTTTGAAAGTGCATTTCCGCATATTTTGGAGGGCGGAACTCCGTGTGTCGCAAAAATTTATTAGAAACATTTATATATGCTGAAATCTTTCGGAATACTCGGGACTCGTAAAATTGGAACAAAGAATGATCGCAAGAGGTCATAAACCTTTCTTCCTTTAGAAACGCTGCATTTCTACGTATGGTTCTTGTTTAGGTGCATTTAGTCTGAATTCATAGGGCAATATGGTGGATATATCGTAGGAGGGGTATGATGCGGGGGAAAAATGGTGCATTTCCGCATGTTTTAAAGGGTGGAACTCCATGTGTCGCAAAAGTTCATTAGGAATGCTCCCAAAGAGGGGCTGTTTTTCTCACCTCTGGTATCTTTGGCGTCATTTTCGTATTGTAAATATCGCCATGTATAGGGGAAATGTAAATATAGAGGGGTAATATCCTCAAACCAAAATATCCCACCAACACCATCAACAAGTGCAGCAGCGCAAAGACCCCACTAGCGCCATAGAAGTCGATAGTACCTCATCCTGGCTACTTCGCCATAGATGTTCGATAATACTTCATTCTAACAATTACCGTGCCAGTTTTGAAAGATGTGCATACGTTTGATAATTCTTCATTGCTTGGATTCACGCAATAGTGAAGTCTCTGAGTTTTATGCAGTTATGGCGTATTTTATTTTTCTGACGTGCGTTTGGCTTATTGAAACCCTGGATAACGGTCCAAACTCCTAGTTGGCAGAAAGTCACATTGCTAAGTTATAAATTGTGATTTTAAGCGAGAACAGCGTTCGGGAAAATTATCCCCAGTATATGTGTCGGATCTTAGCTCCCAGCTCTTTCACCAAACCCTTACTCCTAAAGCAGAGTTTAATTTTAAACATATATTGAACATTTCCAGAATATACAATAGAGAGAAAATACAAAATACAACCACTTAAGCCTTTTTCTTGTCGATCTTGATACGGACAGCCTTGACTTGGGTGTAGTTGTCAAAGGCCTCGATACCCATTTCTCTACCAATACCAGATTGGGCGTAGCCACCAAATGGCACAGATGAGTGGAAATCGTTGTAGGTGTTGACCCAGACGGTACCAGCCTTCAATCTGTTGGAAACGTCAATGGCCTTGTTGATGTCCTCCGTGTGGAGACCGGCAGCCAAACCGTACTCGGAATTGTTAGCCAACTCAATAACTTCATCGACAGTTTCAAACTTGGTGATGGTGACCACTGGGCCGAAAATTTCCTCCTTGACGATTCTCATCTCTTCGTGGACGTTACCGAAGATGGTTGGCTTAATGAAGTAGCCCTTACCACCAATTCTCTCACCACCAGTGATGAGCTGGGCACCCTCCTTCTTACCGACGTCGATGTAGTTCAAAATGCGATCCAACTGCAACTGGGAGGTTTGGGAGCCCTGGAAAGTGGTTTCGTCAAACGGATCGCCAACCTTCAAGTTGGCAATGGCCTTCTTGAACTCAACCAACAATTCGTCGTAGATACCGGACTGACAGTAAATACGGGAGCCGGCACAACAAACCTCACCAGAGTTGTAGAAAATACCGATAATCATGTTCTGGGCCGCTTTGGCAATGTCCGCATCGTTAAAGATGATGTTTGGAGACTTACCGCCCAACTCCAAGGTGACCTTCTTCAAGTTAGATTCGGCGGCACGCTTCATGATGTGGCGACCAGTGGCAGTGGAACCGGTGAAGGCCAACTTACGCACCTTAGGGTGCAAGGCGATGACGTCACCAGTGGTCTTACCGAACCCGGAGATGATGTTGACAACACCCGGTGGGAAACCCGCCTCGTTAAGTAAGTTACAGAGGTACAAAGCAGACAATGGGGTAGATTCGGCCGTCTTCAAGACAGTGACGTTACCGGTGGCCAAACATGGACCCAACTTCCAGGAAGCCATGAGCAAGGGGAAGTTCCATGGAATGATCTGACCACAGACACCGATTGGCTCTCTTCTGGTGTAGGAGAGATGGTTGCTGCCAGTGTCAATGATTCTACCGTCAACCTTGTCAGCGTATCCGGCACAAGATCTGAAGTAGGCAGAACACAAGGCAACGTCACCTCTGGAACAGAACAAGGACTTACCGTTGTCCAAGGACTCGATACCAGCAAGTACTTCGGCGTGCTGCTCGACCAAATCGGCCAACTTGAGCAAGCACCGGCCTCTGACAGATGGGTCCTGGGTGGCCCACTCGGTGTTTTTGAAAGCATTCTCGGCTGCATCCACGGCAGCGTTGACATCTTCCTCCAAAGCTTCGTAGACGGAGCAGACAATCTCTTCGGTAGACGGAGAGACAACCTCGAAGGTCTTGCCCTGCTTGGACTTGGTGAACTCACCGTTGATGAACAACCCAGTTGGTTGGTCGTATTCAACACCGTTTGGCAACTTGATGTGAACGGTTAAAGGATATTCGTCGGTGACCATGGTTAAGTATTTGTGTTTGTGCTGAATTCAAAATTCGATAATGAGAAGACGGATAGATTTAAGAGCAGCCAGTCGATGCCCTTTATATACTTGCCCGAAGATTTGGGACTTTCTGGGGTAAATGGCAGAATAATGAGAGGGGTATGATGGCATGCTTCATTACTATGCGTTTCAGAGAGGGGTAATTGGCGGAGGGGCAAATTCTCGAGCGCTCTGTTATACGAATGTTGTTCATTCAAGCGCGCATGATATGCGGGGTAAATCTTCGACCACGAAGGACCACAGAGGGGTGCATTCGAGCGCCACTCATTTGTGGGGCTAGGTTGTGGACCCAATATTTAGCCTCCAGGCGGGGGGTTGGGACTCTTTGGAAGTCATGCACTCTTGAAGAAAACTTAAAAGGTAAACAAATGTCATCAAAGAATAAAGTGGGTTGACGGCGAGGGTAAATACCCCTCTCCCGGTTTAGAACACGGATGAGTGCATGGTTGACGGGTAGTATAATCGGCTAATATACCATTTTATGTGGGCCCCTCTTAGTGGACTATACAGCCGTTAAATCTATGTTAGTGCCATTAAATCAGTAGCGTCTTAGTCTTAGCAGGCTCCGTGTGAGGCCACCTCTCTGTCGGATTGGCGTTGAGTATTCGCGGTTTGTGGGATGGCATGCAGCGGTGATGGCCTAAACGGGCGGAGGACTTTTAGGTCGGTCTATCAATCTTAGTCTTCCGTCGCTACACGGATTCGGGACCTGGGCTGTGCTCTAGTATGAGGGCACGCCAAAATCCGGGGCAGCTGCGGCACGGCAATTTGCAGGAGGGGCAAGTTACCACGAACCTTATACAAAAGCAAGTATTAATAAATATAGTTCACGGTTGCATTCTAGGGTGGTTGTGACCACTGTTATTTTCCGTGCTTGGCAAGCGCAGTCTGCGGTTTAAAACACATCTAGTTGGGTGTCAGTGACAGAACGTTAATTACGGTATACCAGTGTCCTGATTGAACAACCCTCTCAAAAGGGCTTCATAGGATACGGTATAGTTGGTCAATGTCTGTGATATTTTCCTAGTTGTCATTCTGGCAAGTTCTCGTTTTTCCTCCACAGGGAAAAAAAAATAATCAATCAGAGGCATATTTGGCGAAGGCTAAAGAAAAGCCTCGAAGTTTTCATAGCGGGGCATAATCTCTTATCGTGAATTTTATCTCAAATAATTACAATTACTACAAACGTTTCTGGCGCAGACTCCAGCCCTTGTTAGTAACAAGAAATCCCTGTTGGGGGTCTACCAGTTAATGCGGACCTCAACATCCGCTCCCATTCACGCATTAGCCACATCTCCCAAAGAGAAGCATCATGCGCCACACAGCCGCACGCTCGAAAATTACGTGAACCCGATTTGAACATATCGATGGCGTCAAAGGTCTTAAAGTCGTTCAAATGATCTATCTTCCTGGTAGACAACTGAAATACAGCCACCATGGGCATTCCAGGCGAAGAAAGTAATGTATGCTCATCTGACAATGAAGCGCCTCAGTGACTAACCCTCAGCTTTTCAACCGACTCCATGTCGAAGACTCGAATCTCCACCAAGACAGGTACCAGAAGCAGCTTGAGGCACTTGAAGCAGACAAGCAGCGGATTCTCTACGAGCAGCATGGGAAATATATCGAGGAGCTTCTCCATACGAGCGCTACACGCAACGTGAATATCCCACAGGTGTCGATTCCCAATTCGGGCGCTTTCCGGGCATCGTTCTTGGAGGAGCAGTTGAAGCCGTTGACGGAAGATTTCCACACGGTAGCGTCACTTATGGCGGGGATTGACAAGGTGGGAAAGTCATTTTCCCAGCTCGGCGTCGTGGACCACTTGCACTTTGAACTCCATCAGGCGCCGTCGTCCAATCCATACGACCGGTCGGCAGACGTGTTCCCGGTGATCCATTTGCAGCCAGTTAAAAAGTTTTTCGCCAAGACCGGGACCAGTATCGGGAACGGGGAGGGAGACTCGTACATCACACTCCAATACAAAAACATGTTCGGTGGGGCAGAGAACTTGGTCGTGGATGCATCCACCGGCACACGTACGCGCGCGGCGTACCTCGTCAACTTCAACATGCCTGTGATGAACCGTGCGAACGTCAAGTTCGAGAATTTGGTCCAGGTGAACTCTCAGAAGACAGAAGTGGCGGGGTACGAGACGGTTTTACGGGGCACATCGCAAAAGATGTTCTTCGCCCACCCGCTATGCGAGCTTCTCCAGCACGAGGTGTCCGTGGAGAACTACTGGCGTACCATCCGCAACGTCACTAGCTTGTCTGAGCAAGTAATGGCGCAGCTGGGCGACGACTTGCGAAGCTCCGTGGTCTATGCATGCAAGCTAGACACCCGCGATGACCCCCATTTGCCCACCAAGGGAACCTACTGGCGCTGGGGTACCGAGTATTCCGGTTTGTTTCCCTCTGTGAACAAGTACCGCTTTGTAAAGACGGCTACCGAGTTTCAGACCGGTTATCGCATCAATCCCTTTGTATCTGCCACCCTCACGGGGAAGCTCGGACTCTTGGTTCCGCTTGGCCAAACCACATCTTGCATCCTTGACCGCTTCTACATCGGCGGTGCCAACGACGTGCGCGGCTTCAACGTGCTGGGGCTTGGACCTAAACAGAACCAGACGGCTGTAGGTGGTGATATGTTCCTCAGTGGTGGGCTTAGTGTGTTCTCTCATATCCCGCGCACCGCGATGGATTCGAACTTTAAGTTCCAGCACTTCCTCAACTGGGGCAAGGCCGTTCCGCTTGATAAGAGCTCGAGCTGGCAACAAAACGTGCGCGCATTCGCGACCCCAAGCGTTTCCGCCGGGGTGGGGCTTGTCTTTAACCATCCCATGGCGCGTTTTGAGGCGAATTTTGTCGTACCGTTGCAGGTTTCGCGTGGTGATTCTGTGCGAAAGGGCTTCCAGTTTGGCATTGGAATGAGCTACATGTAATATGGCTGTGTATGTTGGATGGGAAAATGGTTATAGAAATAACAAGCTTGATACAATCTGATCGACGTACAATCCTTGTATAGTGTACGGCGTGGTGCTAGATACCTTGGTTCGCCACTGAGAGAAATTATTGGCGTCTGTTCTGTTTTAGTGCAAATGTATACTTAAGAGTGTGGGGTTTAGGCTTCATACTTTTCGTCTCATATTTTAATATTTTGTTCAATCATTCGACAAATGCTATTCAAAGTAGCCAGTGGGGGGCTAGAAGGCCTTAGGGATAGTCACTATAGGTAAGGACTTGAACTGTCTGACTTATATCCCGTGAATTGCAATTAATTAGCTACACATTTGGTTTCAAATATTAGCATATTATCGATCCAATTGGTATGGGCTATATAAAGCACCCCTTTTATGGCTACCTATATTGTAGGCCTTTGTATCAAGTACTAGAATCTCTAAATGTCCCGGTAAAATACGTGAAATTTACACTTAATCAGTTTTATAGTACATAACATTACAACGAAACAAGTATACGTAGAGGGGACAAAAAGGGGTTTGGGTCGAAATGACCCGTGGCTGTTCAAGTCTGCAAGTCCGTGTATATGAATTGCTTGGAGTTTCTTCCCAAGGCGGCTTGCACCCAGGGGTAATGCGTGGGGGCGTGGTTGCAACAAGTAATCTTAGTTGAAGAACTTACCGGTCATCTTGGCAATGACATGCAAGACGACAACGGAGATGATGAAACCGACAGCCAAGAACAAAACAACCAATGGGTCGACTCTCAAGCCCTGGGCTTCGTCAGTGTACAACTTTAACATAGTGCTGGAAGAGCCACCGGCACCAGCGGCTCTGGTGGAGGTTGGGGTCTGAGTGGCAGCAGTGGCCTTTCTATCGGCAGTAGCCTTTCTCTTGGCAGCAGTACGGGCACCACCTGGGGCAACAGCAGAAGAGGACTAAAGGGTTAGTAATTGCTTCAGGTGCCTGCGATTGAGACGATTATATTGGAGCTGGCAATCATGAAATTTCATTGACACGTGGTTGTCAATGACATCTCAGTCCGCTCATTATCGCTTCAATATTGGTCATATATCCGTTACTCACCATTTTATTGATTAGTGGGATAAAGTACAAAGATGTATCAACGAATATTATCGTATGCGATGTTTGAAATATGCTAGATGCCAACGATACCGAGTCGTAACACGACATCAGTCTCGACGCTATCGTGCGGGCGTATTTTTCGTCTTGGTACGTACGCGACACGCCCGGTGCTGCATTTTACGCTGCACAGGGATTGCCACGTAACACAGAGGTGAGACCACTCATGTCCACGATAATTATACCATAATTGTTTGAATTAATCGTTGGGATATTACAGTATCGTATCTTTTCGGTATATTATTACTGACATGTTTGTGAAAATTTTAGCCTTGCACCAACCGATGTTGGCTTTGAACTGCGTAGGTACCAGTCTGGTTCGCACTAGTGCAAGTAGCTTTAGTATAAGTAGCTTTAGTATATGTTGTCAGGGATGCCGTTGGATAGCATCCCAGGAAAATTCAGAACGCCGCGCCAGCCGCACTTGGAGTCTTAGATAAGCTAGGTAAGAGGTCGTGGGAACAGCTTTGGGTTTGTGAGAGGATGCTACCACAAGCTCACGGCCTAGAACGAGAGAAAGCGTGATAATGCTGGATCGATCGTTTTAGCTTACACAATTGTCGAGTCAGCCGTTCTTCCAACTGGAAATTTACACATCTGAAGCAAGACCAATGTGCAATTATATTGAAAGCTCCGGCGTTCCAGCGTCTGCCGATATTCCATTCGTGTCTGGGAAAACTAAATAGCCAGTGCTGGTGCCAATTACATTCATCAGTGTAAGAATCACACATTAATACCATCGGGTATGACAACTGCAGTGTTGGAAATTATCTGATCACCAAGTACTACCGCCGATATGTACATAACAAAGGTTAAAAACATAGTAGCATACAGCATCTTGCTTGGGTTACCACTATTAGTCGATACGCCTGGTGCTAAGCAAACTCCGGTGCCCGTAGTGATGATACAATGTGAAGCAGTAGTAGGTTCCGAACACATAATGAGCACTATACTTTGTAACTAAGAACTAAAAACTATTAAAGGGGATTCGACTCCTTAAATAGAAATCTGATTCATCCTATTTTGCGAGCTTGTTCAAATTTTCAAACGTATCCCGTGTTTATACTGGTAAATTCTTGGCATTATACACTAACACGGGTCACCGCACATATCCACTCGAGCTATTGTGCAATATGTCCAGTGTTAAAGGAGTTACTGATCATACTTCACAGCCCTGACGCCCTGCGGGTTGCGTGAATCCTTCCGCTTATACCGAGTGGCGTAATGTTATCCTCATCATGCATAAGGACTCCTTCGTCTTTCCCTTGATTATATATCTAGTTTATGAAGTAACCAAAGAAATCTCTTCTAACTAAGAGAGAATACGTTTTTTAGGTGAAATATGTATAAACAAAGGAGAGGTTGAGAGCCAGGAGCGACGTCGTTATGGCTATACGGCGATATATCATGGAATCGGCGTGAAGATACGATTCTCAACTGCCGTCCGGTCGATAGTCATATAGAATATATTCTGATTGGAAGTGAAAGGATATCGGCCGGGTACGTTTGCGGGATTAAAATTCACCTTTAAAACTCTCGGCATGCGTATTTGGATGTAAAATGCTTAATTCCAGCAGTATGAACCCCTATACCTGTAGTTCTTAGTTCTAAAAAAAGATATTATGGGTTAGTAAATATGCGGTAAACATGAACGAAGTGTCTTTCTTTCGTACTAGCAGGAGAATTGATGAGGCACCAAGCCTCTACATTCCTTTCCGCTATAACGATAGACCCTGCATCGGAAAGAAATTTCCGCCGCAGAGAGAGGTCAGGCTGAGTCTCCTGCAGATACCATCTTTTAGAAAGTGCATTTGCTAAAGAGATCAGCGGGATAATTGACCTATTAGTGGCTCTTGAACGACATCCACTACATGTACATGCAGACCGCTCGTACCCGGATTGTATGGTTGAAGCTTGCGACTTAGAAGATAGGAGGGTACAACTCACGATTATAAAAGAGCAATGTTAATTTTTCACTAAAATAATGTCGAATAACGGAAGATCAGAGAAATATGGATTCTTTTTTATGGTCAAGCCATACCGTAAGTGTTGTCCAATGACATAGAGGACACATCTTTTACAAAAAGAGACTCACCTGCCTCTACATGCACATCAACCTGACTTCACAGAAAAAATACCTGCACCGCACATCTACCATTGAAGCGACTTCCTTATCCGGTGAGTAAAATACCGCTTAGAGCGTTACGTTGTGATAAAGACCAGTTTAGTTGGGGAGGAAACCAATCACTGGAGTTCTATCGTACACATGTCGTCTGTAATGAAGATAGAGCTGAACTCATGCTGTGTGTTGAAGGTGTTTCAGATGGTGACTCCTATCAGGCCGAACAAGGTTAAAGTAACCGCTGGTCGTTGTATAAAATCTAGGGTAAATGAAACTTAGCTAGGCCATAAGTACGGTATTATAGATCATGACATATACCAAGAGGGAGGAGTCAGGAATCTATAAAAGGATGATAACGAGACTAAAAGCCTGTTGTGAAGGTGTCAGAAATAAGCGAAGTAAGAGGTGTTTGTAAGAACAGCCTAGAATTAGTGAAAGGATGTTAACATGACCTCATAGTGGTCTATAACAAGAGGAAGCACAGGGTTTTGCTTTAGTACAATGCTAAGCGTAGTTTATTACAAAGACAAGTCATTTACAGTAACAACAATGTTGAAGTTTAATTGCCAATATTGGGTGTCTGTTCCCCGATACATTAACCATACCACGTTTTGGTATCGCCTTTCAATGGTGTATTACCATGTATATCAGGCCCCCAAGTACCACAAGTTATTTTCCCACCATCAGTGCCTAGACTTGAACATGTCCGCTCTTGGGCATAAAACCAGTCGATTTAGTGATAAATCTATATTTGTTCTTTCAGACCTGATCCAACGTCCCAGGTTACTGTATCATCCTTACTATAAGAGTCTATAGCTGTATAATCAGTAATGAGTGATAATAAGCCCTTGATTAAAAATGGTCCTCAATTTGAATGTTGAGTACCAACACAGTTCAATTATAGGTACCACTGTAAGCACCAATCCTTTTTAGAGCTATGTCATTGTACCCGCAAACATCCTTTTGCCCCTTCTCTTTTCCAACGCCACTTTGTTTCTGTCCACGATTAATTCATATAAATTAGCTACACCAATGTCATGGACTACAGTAACATTTGAGGGTGAGAATGTGTCTCCAATTTTTACAGCCATGACAACCTGTTCGTTAACTGATGTTAAATTCCCACCCGTAACAAAAATTCCAGCATCATATCTGGCCACCTAAACTCAAGACACTGCTCAAGCCTTCTATGGACAAGTTAAGTGGAGCCGCGACACCGAATGATATTAACATTAAAAGCACCATAACCATCGACATCTTGCTATTAGTCTCATTGCCGTTAGATATGGACACCATACCACAAGACGTTATCACTGTCCCGTTCACTGACGAAACCAAACCTGTCGCCTGGCTCAGCCGCAGTTAGTAATAGCACTCATCTCTGTCCTTCACAAATAATAGTCTTTACCAAAAGATAACCCTGATTAAAGATAACCCCGATTAAAGATACGTTCCTGCACGAACTAGAAAATAATGAGGAGGATCCGTCCTCTTAAGTAGAAAACGAACGGATTTCAATTTATTAACATATTCCAATTTATAAGCGTGTTTCAATTTATTATTGCGTTATCTTTATATTAGTACTCTTGGCATTGTATTAGTGTATACCTCCACACTTACCCGATCGAGCAATTGCATCATCTGAAATTATCATCCCAGAAATATCACGTTTTCTCTCGTTCTAGGCCCCGGGCTGTTCCCACGACCTCCTCCTGTCTCGTCGGGATCATTTTATAGGTTCCCGACTCTTCTCACGGTATACATGCTAGAATCTGTAGTATCATATATATAGTCTAGCTAAGTTCTACTTACCCTAGGGGTATCATGCTATGACCAGCAGGTAATTTAACGCACGTATCATGCTGCTTCAGATACAAGCAAGGGTCTATGTAAGCCGAAGGACGTCTGCGATACAAGATCTATTAAGTAGCCCTTTTAACCCTGTTCAGTCTGGTGGGAATCACCATCTGAAATACCTTCAACACACAGCATTAACTCAGCTTTCTATCACAACGTAACGCTCTAAGCAGTATTTTACTCGCCAAAGAGAGCCGCTTCAATAATAGATGTGCGGTGCAGGTATTTTTTCTGTGAAGTCAGGTTGATGTGCATGTAGAGGCAGGTGAGTCTCTTTTTGTAAAAGATGCGTCCTCTATGTCATTGGACAGCACTTCCGGTGTGGCTTGACCATAACAGAAGGAATCCATATTTCTCTGATCTTCCGTTATTCGACATTATTTTAGTAAAAAATGAACGTTGTTCTTTTATAATAGTGGGTTGTATCCTCCTATCTTCTAAGTCGCAAGATTAAACAATACAATCTGCGCACGGATGGCCTGCATGCACATATAGTGGATGTCGTTCAAGAGCTACCAATAGATCAATTATCCCGCTGATCTCTTTAGCAAATGCACTTGCCAGAAGATGGTATCTGCAGGAGACTCAGCCTGACCTCTCTCTGCGGCGGAAATTTCTTTCCGATGCAGGGTCTATCGTTATAGCGGAAAGGAATGTAGAGGCTTGGTACTTCATCAATTCTCCTGCTAGTACGAAAGATACTTCGTTCGTGTTTACCGCATATTTCCTAGCCCATAGTATCTTTTTCTAGAACTAAGAACTACAGGTATAGGGGTTCATACTGCTGGAACTAATCATTTTACATCCAAATACGTATGCCAAGAGTTTTAAAGCTGCCATTTAATCCCACAGACGTACCAGGCTGATATTTTCTCATTGCCGATTGGACGATATTCTATATTACTATCGATTGGATAAGTGTGGCGATTCGTGCTAGTACTATGCCAAGGATTCACTAATATATACATAAAGCATTCGTAAATTAGAATACATTTGCTGTCTATTCAAGGGGACAAATCCTCCTTAACAATTCTTAGCTCGTAATTGAAATATAACCTCAACTCTCTATACAGTTAGTGAAACAAAAGCTACTGCATATAAGCGACACAATACTTACTTCCCCAAAGGAAAACTTATTCTACCGAATTCTTGCTGTCAATATCGCCGAGACGAATATGGGATAAGAGCGCTTCAGATGGTTACCAGGATTAAAACTAAGTAATGTACCAGAAGAATCATACACCATATTATCGTTTAGAAGCAGTGTAATAGGTGACCAAAAGTGGCTATTACAAGGGGTACGCGCCTTTATTAAGGAAGTCAAGAGTTGGTGGTACGGGTATGTAGATAGATTTCTTGCCAATTACAGATAGATCCACACTACCTTGAAAAAACCTCAAATTCTTGCAGTGAAACAAGCGGAGAAACCCTCCAGGCCTGATCCCTTTTATATCAGGATAGAGGATCGGGGTAATCTCTAAGAAGATAGGGATAGTATCAAGGATGTGCTAAATGGCATCCTAGGAGAACTCAGCGTACCGCACTAGTAGTATTTGCAGTCTTAGAAATAAGTGAGGTAAGAAGTGTTCATTGGAACAGCCCCGAGATAGTGAAAAAATACTATCACAAGCTCACATCGGCTTAGAACGGGGGGAAGCGTGTTAACGTTGAGTAAATCATCCCAGCTTGCAAAATTTCTGGGGCAAGTAAATAATAGAATCTACGCTACTGTATGACTCGACATGTGTTAATGCAATACGGAATGTGTTTGTAAATTAGAATACCCTCTCAAAATAGAACTAATTCGATCCACGCTTGGAAAATCAAATTTTCCATAATATCCTCCTAGTTTATAGCTATAAATTACCTTTTGCCCGAATTTTATTATACAGTAGCTTATATTATTAGGCCACTAGTCTGAACCATGAGTAGTTTTGAGGTTCATCCTGATAGAAGAAGGAACCTCAAGCCCAATAAAGGTCAGAAGGTAGACAGCATGCCCAAATCCTGACATCGATGTCAGGGTTTCCAGTAGGGGGGCTGTATTTAATCATTCCATCCACAGCATACGGTCATGACAACCCACAAGAATAAAGAAAATGTTATACTAAGAGAGTATCCTAAAGGTGGGAAGTCACTTTCTTACATAATTCTGTGAGACTGCAGCACTTGTGTTATATTTGCTGGGCTCAGTACTCGCTTCGCTCGTGCAAGAGAGCAAATTCTGATAACTATCACCCAATCCTGATAGCAATACACTTTACCACATAACCTCAGAGATAGCTTCTCCAATTCCGGCATCAGTATGTCAGGGTTACAGTTTCTGTTGGGATTCCAGTCAGGGGATTTTAGTCAGTCATTGGTTCACAGGTTACTATCACGATTTAAGCACAGTGAACTATATAAGGAAATGGATTCCGGCTGATAGGATATGTATTTAGCTTAGAAGTATTTTTATTCTTGTGGATGATCGTAGTAATAACTTGTGACCCAATGACTGATTACAATCCCCTGTCTGGAATCCCAACAAGCGCTTGAACCTTAATACCTAACATATAATGGCCGTTTGGCCGAGTGGTCTAAGGCGTCTGACTCAAGATCAGATCTCGTAAGAGGCAAGCGTTCGAACCGCTTAGCGGTCATTATCTTTTTATCTATACAACAAACTATATTCATCCTGGGTCATTTCATTTTTTAAATCAACTTGCTAGGACATATTTTGGATTTTTTCTGAAAGCATTACTTTTCATTTATGCTTCGGTAATCCTACACGATTAGATATTCTTACGGTCCGCCGAATACAACAATATTAATAGATCCACACCGAGTCGATAAGGGGAATTAATCTGCCAGAAAGTGGGGGTAAAGGCCACTAGGTCTTCCAAATCTTTCGCCTACAAATACCGCCGCTTACCATGTGTTTCTATGGGCTAGCTCCCCATTGGAATGTCATTAGACGACTCGGCCGAGACCCTCCGCCGCATGTTTCACAATATGCAGGTCAGAGACATTGGTGAAAAAAGGACATAAGATGTAGACTCTGTCATCCGAATCCCTGTTTACCTAGAATCAAATTACCTGAACCAAACATTATTTGAAAGTATCTACCATGCCTTCCGCCTTAGTTAAGCCTGTTGGCCCGTCCAAGCCCTCCTCCAAGGACTTGTCGCAGCTTCCACCGATCATCTTCGGCGGGGCCATCTTCAACACCCAGTACAACGACGACCCGGACGCCATGCCCTGCGCCGAGATGGTAAGACTTACGTTCCGCAAGGGCTGCTACGCGATCGACACGTCTCCATATTACGGTAACTCTGAAAGTATCCTCGGAAATGCGTTGGTGGAGGTTGCGGACGAATTCCCAAGAGACCTGTACTTCATCTGCACCAAGGCTGGGAGAATCAGATTGGATGAGTTTGATTACTCGCCTAGCGCCATCCGCGCTTCTGTCTTGCGTTCATGTGAAAGATTGCACACCTCCTACTTGGACCAGGTCTACTGCCACGATATCGAATTTGTGCCTGTAGCAGAGGTCTTGGAGGCCTTGAAGGAGTTGAAAAGGTTAAAGCAGGAAGGGGTCATTCGTAACTTCGGCTTCAGCGGCTATCCCCTCGATCACTTGATCAGGGTGGCCGAAATTTGTGCCAAGGACAAGGACATTGGGCCAGTTGACGCCATTTTGTCCTACTGCAACGGGTGCATCCAAAACACCTCCTTCTTCGACTACGGGCTTGCCCAATTAAAGGCTCTGGGCACCATGAACATCTGCAATGGCTCCATTTTGTCCATGTCCCTTTTGCGCTCCCAGGATACCAAGTCTTTTCACCCAGGTGACAAGCAGTTGAAGGCCAAGGCCAAGGAAATCGGAGCATGGTTGTTGAAGGACTACAACGTGGAGTTGGCCGAGTTAGCCACCCGATACGCCATCAGATCCATCTTAGGCAAGGGTTTCACCGTCATTGGCGTTTCAAACATTGCTGAGTTAGAGGCTGCCATTGCCAGTTACCACATTGTCAACGATCCGGCTAACGAGATTAACATGCAAGACGCGGTGTTGGTCGCCAAGGTGCAGGCAGCCTTCGGCAGTCACATGAATGAGACTTGGGCCAGTGGCTTGGAATCTTTCGACTACAATGTATAGTTATTGATGTGATGCTGTGAGTTGTGTGGTCACTTGTTTTTAGAGACATCTCTGTTTGCTGTAGAGTAGCCAAGCGTTATCTGAGTGTCCCACTCTCCAATGGATTTAATGTCTCCTCAGGTAAAAACCTTAGCCTTTGAGGTAATGTGTCTGCGCAGGGGGTAACCTCTAATCTTGGGTCGAGAAGGGAGGCTGCGCCTTAATCTCTCATGCCTACGGTTCCCCGCTTTTAGGTCATGCAATGCCGACTTGGTTGAGAGACCATCTATCCAATATAATGGGCTATGGCCCTTACTCTCTTTGACTAGCTATAGCTCTGATAGAGTATCTTAGATATGCGTATTTAATTCTACGGCTAGCCTTAGTACTAGATGTGCTACAAAGCGCCTGAAAATGAAGGAGCCCGAAAATGAAAGAGCCCTTCTCTCACCACAAAGATTTTGGGCTCTCTCAACGGCTAAACGAGCTAAGTCGTTATAATAACCTAGTATTATATATCATAAGCTCTTGGTGTAAGGTGGTAGCGATCTTTGTGTGTTTCCAGAGCTGTAGTATACTGTGTACTCCAGCAGAGAATAAGGTTTGAATTAAAACACAACTCCATAACATAAATGTGTATTCACTGTGTCACAACAAGGTTATTGTCAAATCGCTCATCATTCCACCTTTATATGTGTGTTAATGGAGGAACTAGGTCATCGTATACGTACGATTGATCTTGCACGATCGGAGTTTTGAATACCTACTATAAGGAATCCTTGATGAAATACCTATCCAAAATAATTAAACTATTATAGATATATACTACGGTTAAGTACTGGAGTTTCACCTGCACGAGTTTCCATGTACCCCATGATGAGGGGCTGTGCTGGTCCATGCAGTATGCAAGGGTTTGTAAATCTAAGTTGCAGCCAGCTGGAGATGCACCAAAAACAAAAGGCAAAAGGCTGATTTCTGCACGTTTAAGTCCATGCATACTGCATGAACCAGCACAGCCCCTCATCATGGGGTACATGGAAACTCGTGCAGGTGAAACTCCAGTACTTAACCGTAGTATATATCTATAATAGTTCAATTATCCTATTTTTTTCAGTTTGATTACCAGAACCAGCTATCTCCTATATCTCCAAATTCCTGTCATGCGCGAGAAACAAATATACGCAAGACCTCCAGAATACCCTGAGACCTGGGGAGACGATGGGCAGTTCTCCCAAAACCAAAACTGGGGTAATCAAGCCAATGCTAATTATAATAATAGCAGATATAATGACGGTAACAGCTGGAGATGGGAAGAGGGAAAGCCTAATCCCAACGCGCAGGTGTTTGATGAAGCCTTCGAAGTTCCAAAGCAAAAGTTCAACGATATTCCCTTTGCGGCCTTGTTTTTGGCCACGGTCGTAGGATTCATCGTGGTGTCTGTGATTTCCATCAAGGCATACAAGTCCACATTCAACTTCCAGGGAACCTCCATCTACAACTCTGGTAACACCTTCTCGGTGAACACGCATACGGTGATCTTGTTTGGGTTCGCAATTGTAATTGCGTTGGTGTTGTCCGTTGCTATCCTCATGCTTGCGCGTTTCCACGCCAAGAGCTTCATTAAGTTCTCAATGATTTTCAACTTTATCTTTGGGCTTGGAACAGCGATTTACTACTTAGCCATGAGATACTGGTCGGCGGGAATTCCCGCCTTGGTTTTCACCATAATCACGGGCATCAGTTATTGGACCATGAGGAAGCGTATTCCATTCTCGGCTACAGTCTTGGAGATTGTCATTGATGTTATGAAAGGCCGCCCAAGTACCTTGGTAGTTTCGATCTTGGGGGCTGTTGTTACCGCTGCCTTTTCGTGTTTGTTTACTATCTCCGTTGTTGCGACCTACGCAAAGTACGACACCAATTCAAATAATCCAAACTGTACCTCCGGAGGCTGTTCTAGCGGTAAGCTTGTGGGATTGATTATCTTCTTGTTCTTCGCAGGGTACTACATTACAGAAGTTATGCGCAACGTCATCCATGTCACCATTTCCGGGGTTTATGGTACGTGGTACTACTTGTCCAAGAGCGACCAAGGTGAGCCTAAATTAGCAGCTTGGGGTGCTTTTAAACGCGCTGTTACCTACTCCTTTGGCTCTATTTGCCTCGGGTCACTCATTGTTACCATTATCCAAATGTTGAGACAGTTCTGTCAGTTTCTCTCTTCTCCTCAGAACGCCATGATCGGGGGACAAGATGGGATCGGAGCCGCCGTCATGGTCGTCATGGAAATTCTTGTGGGGTTTGTGGAATGGGCAGCGAGATTTTTCAACCAATATGCGTTTTCGTATATCGCTTTGTACGGGGAGTCCTACGTCCAGTCGGCTAAGAATACCTGGAAGTTGATAAAGCACAACGGGATGAGTGCTTTAGTAAATGACTGCCTCATTGGCAGCGCATTGTTATTCTATTGCTTGTTTGTGGGGTACGCCGCCGCCTTATTCTCGTACTTGTTCTTACGATTGACGCAGCCAGAATACAACTCCACCGGGGGCTTCTACGCCCCAATTGTGGCTTTCACGTTTGTTATCGCAATGCAGATCACTCACGTCGCCACCACAGTGGTCAAGTCCGGTACTTCCACTTTCTTTACCGCTTTGAGTAGGGATCCGGAGGTGCTTCAAGCCTGTTACCCTCAGAGTTATAACGAAATCTTCCAGAACTATCCAGACGTTGTGAAAAAGCTTAACCCTGTCGGTGTTTGAACACCCTTTAACGGTCTTTAATTTTTATACTAACTTTACCATATTATCCTTTTTTTGGACTTATAAAATGTAAGCATATAACTTGTCCTTTATGCATGGCTCCCCTCTTCAATCAATTTCCCAACATTTATCAAACACCAGCAGCCGAAATCACACCTATCATTGACAACTGTGACAAAAATCGGTAAACGTATACCCTTCAAACTTTCAACTACTGTGGCCTTCAATTGAGAGTCGGCCTCCTCGATAATGCTGGATATCTTTACTTTGAGATTCAAAGAAACCCAGTTAATCCCCTTCTCCGTTCCTTCGTCGTGTTTACTCCCTACCCGGTTAATAGCTTCCACTCGAGCTAGCTTTGTGTTTTTAGTCAAGTAATGTGTTGGAATGGTTTTCACGATCAATTCCGGTTTATTCAACTTTTCGGGCTTTGCTCCCAACTTAAAGTGCGGAACTGGGATGGTGGCTTCCATAAATAGCATTTCTGGGGGCGACTTTATCTGAAACACGTGTTTCTGGTTAGTGGAGATTGTCACATCCGTCAAGAGCTTGCAATTGTTTATAAAGCTTATAAGAAAAGTGCAGTTCTGGGTTTCCTCGGAAAGAGCGTCGTTCATGGAAAAGTTAGTGGTCTGCGAATGGGTATTCGCCGGCAAAGCCACCTTAATGGTGGGGAATATGTCGTGAAAGTATGAAGACTTGAGGAATTTGATAATGGTAGGCTCTTTATCTGGTTTAATGATGATTTTGCGGCACAGTTTGCAGAGGATTGATTTCTTGGTTCTCAACCTTGTGGAGATAGGAACCATGCCTGGAAGGTGTATCTGCGACGTGGGAGTTATTTGGTTTTTGATTCCCTCAAACTGGACAGCTACTGACAAGTCTGCCTCTTCGTCGAATAAAACAGGACTGGCGTCTGCCTGTTTCGTCTCGGCAACGGACAAGCTCTTTAGCTGCAAGTCTGGGGGTAGTCTGTTAAGGAGCTTCTGCCCCGTTTGGGACACGGCAGACAAAGCATCCGTACCCTCCAACCCTTCCCGCTCCAATTGGTTACAAAGCTCTGTGAACCTAGTGTAGCTCGCGTTATTCAGCAAAGTGGATGCTTTGACCACCCGCAGTAAGGGTACGGTTAGCCGCTCAGACTCGGTCTTCTGGACATACGAGTACTCACAACCTTCGCATTGAAATGTGTAGGATCGAGGTCCACCAGGTGTTACTGTGAGGTTTGTCCGACAAAGTGGGCATGTGAAGCAGTTGCGGGGGCACGAGTTGCATCCGGCTCTGGCGATGGACATGCAGCTGGGACAATATTTGGACTCAATCTCCGGCTCACTGCATCTGTTGCACTTTATCGACTGACAATTAGTGCAAAAGTAAACATCCTTGGTATTGAACGAGCAATTGGGGTCGGTAAGGGTCGTGGGAGGTTCCAGCATGGTCGTGGGAGGCTCCTGCGTGGTCCTGTGCCGGCTCTCTCGTGGCTCGAAACATGGACAGAACACCTTGGTATCACTATCCATTCTCGTACTACTTCAAAATTATTAGAAGGTCTAGTTGGATCCGGAAAACTGTTAATGGGGGCTCAAAATGTTTTGGGTTGAGGTACCAAGTGTGATGCAACTGACAGGATGCATTCTTTTTTCGTGTTATTGTGGCGCCGCATGGAATCTCCCACCAGTCATAGAAATCGTGCCTACTCGTTATAAATTATTTTGCATGGTGCATTCTTACATCGCTTATTTTAATACTTTAGAAATATAAATCCACAAGCATCTACCCGTGGATCTACTACTCTCAAGTTGACCCAAGTTTTGGCTTTCGTTCGCATTAGCTCTGATAAATCTGTAGGATTGGATCACCTCACCATTTTGTGGTCCAGCTATGCATTGAAATATAATTCCTGTCTCTGCTTGGATTTCACTTATCCATGCATCTCATTGAGACGTATTTTATTCCATATTCCGTCAAAATTACATAACTTCGTCTTCGTCGTCCAAATAACTCTCCTTCAGACAACTGCCGTATTCCTCAATCAAACTTCTCACCACCTCGCGCGACTCCTGGAACTCTGCCAAGATGCCGTCTTCCAGACTAAACAAGTCGTGTCTCGTGTAATTGTTCATAAACATTTTGCGCGCAAACATGCTGTCGAACTGCGAACACGTTTTTTGGAAGAGCAGCGCCACGTTGGTGGTGTTGGCAATCATGAGGCCACTGACGATGTTCTTGTTTGGCTGGAGATACGGCGACTTGGTCCCATGAGCGAGATGAATCGAAGACGGGCACCAAGGTACAAACCTGGCACGTTGATGAGCTCGCATCAATGCCTTCTGAATATCGTCCTGATCCACACGGGTGGTTAAATCATCTCTTGGGTCGTTCGTCACCAAGATATCGAGCACGGCAAGGTAGCGATTGTTGAGGTCGTCACGGAAGGATGGGGACTTGGTGCCCTGGTTGATCATCTGCAGTTTTTGGTCCAAAAGCTTCAATATAACATCATAGGCCGTAGACGATCGCACATCTTTGGCGCCAGCGACGGTGTCACTTGTGAAGGGGGAAAAGCTGGTGGAGAGAAACTTAAAGTCGGGTGTGGGAACGAGCGTCGAGAGAATGTGACTGAGTGAGGTGTACAGGTAGTTGGGGAAGCGCATGGTGTTGGAAAACGTGGCCATTGCCGTTGCAATCAACTCATTGATCTGGAAGAACGAGACGGTATCAACAAAGCACTCGCTGGCGATGTTGTGCAACGAACTGTTATCAAACACCACACACGCGTCGCTATGTTCGATCAACCGGCGGAGGGCTAAGACGGTGTTGTAGGGATGCACAACCACCGATGAATTGGCCCCTTCAAACACAGAAAACGTCGTGAGAAGCTTCTTCCCGTAGCGGTCGTTCAACTGCTCCAAGAGGTATGACCCAGCCCCTGAGCCCGTGCCCCCGCCCACGGAGTGGAGGAGCTGGAACGCCTCGAGGTTATCGCAGCTATCCAACTCGTGGTCAATGATATCCATGATCTCCTGGGAGTAGTCATGGGCGTACTGATAACCGTACGCCCAGTTGTTCCCCGAGCTGCTGCCCTCCTTGGACAAGTATGTGTTGCGGGGATTGAACAACCCATTTTCTGGAAGCTTTCCAATAACCCCGGGTTCTAAATCTACCAAAATCGCTCTGGGAGTGTACCGGTTGTTGGATGAAAGATTGAAGTATATGTCTGGCTGCTCGTACAGATTGAGGGAGTCGGCATTTCTGCTCCCGTCGCTGGCGGAAATTCCGTGCTCTGCGCATAAACGCGACCAGTACTGCTGGCCAATCTGATTGCCGCATTGGCCTACCAGGAGAGATATGATTTCGCCAGGCATAATAAGCTGGAATTATTGAAGTTGGGACTAACGATATAGCAAGTGGAAGTAATCTTTGTTTGTTATGAAAGTCAAAAAAAACCGCGTCTGCGGCATGAGGCTAACTATGCAGGTCAAGTTACCGCCTAAACTATACATAATGTCATGGGACATTGGGTGAGGTTCGGTCTTTAGTCAAGACTCAACACAACTATATTTAGGTTTGCAGGCCTGGAGAATTCCAGTGGAGTTGGTTATCCGAAAAAATGCCTCTTGCGCTATGTAATGTCAGATACCATCTACTTCAGTTAAGCTGTATTCTATAATTGCATCATAAGCTGAGACTTAATCCCTCAATTAGCGTATAAAACAGGGCATAGCCTGTGGTCATAGTCGCATTGATAACTTTAATGTAACACCTGCTTTAGGTGCAACATGGTCGGATAATGTCCTACTTCTCCACGTGAAATCTATCTTTCCCCACTTTTTTAAACCGACAATTCTTATTCATTACACATATACGCAATAAAAGAAACCACAAATCACAACACACGCCATAACCATTTCACCAATTGCTGATAGCTAACCGCAACGTCAGTGTATCATTACAATACACGGTACGCCTAGAGAAATTGGATGAGACAGAACACGGGGAGCCGTGCAACGGCGGGCCGAAAAATGCGAAAATCAATCACTATCATGAGAACGGAGACACATAACGCACAAGAACCATGATGTTAAATTACCAAAACCAAAGGGTTAAGGGGAAATTTAAGCAGCGATGGTGACTTCAACATCCACACCTGGTTCAATGGTGATCTGGGTGACCTTCTTGACAACCTGAGCTGGGGCTTCCAAGTCGATAACTCTCTTGTGGATCTTCAACTCGTAGTGGTCCCAGGTCTTAGAACCTTCACCGTTAGGAGTCTTTCTGGTGGTGATGTTCAAGATCTTGGTTGGCATTCTAACTGGACCCTTAACTCTCAACTTGTAGGTGTTGGCGTTTCTGAGGATGTTAGCAGAGACCTTTTCCAATTGCTTAACCTTGGTGGAGGTTAAAGTAATTCTGATTCTGTGAACTTCCTGTTCTTCGACTTGGACCTTTTCCTTGTTGTCAGACATTGTTGATATTTGGATTGACGTTGTTAGGGAAAAAAAAGGAAAAGAAACATTTCTTGACCAGGTGTTGTTAAGGTTAGTTTTCTATAGCGTGAAACTGGCCTCCCCTGCAAAGGAAATGGGTAGGAGATTTCGAAAATTTTCATGTTCAGCACACGACTGCAAGCTTATATTAGGGCTTTTCAAGCCCTCTATATAATCACGTGATGTACTGTGTGCAAGGCCACTGGCGCAACGCGCGAATGCCAGATGTGACTGGCCGGTGCCACGGGAAAAGATGATATACTCCCCATCTTTTGGTCTGTTACTAGCCAGGGATAATACGGTTTATGAAAAATCAATTAAGTTTAAAATACCAGCCGCGCTCTAAAGCTTTTCTCAGGAGAGTGAATGTGGTTTTCTGCATGATTCTCTCGGTGCATAAAAATCTAACCCACCTGGAGCACATGTATATGGACAGAGAATTCTATGCATGATACCACTTCTGCGCAGATATATGAATTTTGAGCTGATTATATAGGTTGACATGCAGCTGGCAGCGATATCTTAACATCGAAAATATAAATATCATATACACAGCCAGGAATATGTATCCGATCACTATCTGTTATCACAAACACTCGTATTTATTTCATGAATAAATATTTAAAGACAAATAATCTTAATAAAATTAGCATTTACAAGCTTGTAGTAATATATATTGTGTTTGTTTACGTATTATCTGTTATATATTAGAAAATGAAAAACTTGGTTATACATATATACTATTATTTTTCCCAAGTCAAGGATTATACCCATATACAATGCAATTTATATTCTTATCGAATATTTAAAGGATATTTTAGCTACAAAATTCAAATAGGCTATTGAATTGTGCTGAAAATAACTAAATATACACATATTTTTGAATCGGAGGCTATATTTTTTTGTAGTGTCAGTAAATTCGCGGTACAGCTTATGTTACTTAGCAGTGCTCTACTTTTTAAATTCTGGTATCAGGCGCGAAGGATTTTCACAGATGCAGTATGTGAGTCATTGCATTCACCAATGGTGTCTAGAACCCGAGCGCCTCAGAGTCAGACATACCACAAACAGAGAATATTATTCAGTTTATGTGTCTTTCATGAAGCATATGTATTTTGTCTGGTTGACAGTGGTTTACCTCACTTTGAGGGATCCTTCAGTCAAGACTCAAATTGAGCAATCACTGTCAATGTAACAATGCTACAACAGCCTCTTCTGAAAATCGTGCCTACGTATACGCGTTGAAGCTAAAATTAGCATCCATGAATTATCACCAGAGCTAAGATAGATGATAACAAGGGGAAAACACTTATATTAACGAAATATATTTAGAAACGGTAAGAATGGAAAGGATAGAAGAATAAAACTGATATCTAGACATGCCAGATATCCTGGTATCAAAATGTGGTAAATATATCAGGCATCTCAAGAAACGAAAAATAAACGGCGAATCAAGCAATTTGGCTTGGAGCACATATAAAACACGAAAGCCAAATGGCGTAAAGCAAAAATCGTAGAACAGAAGGCTAAAGGGAACAAACACTTCAGATATCACGCTCTCTATAATAAAACACCGCAAACAATAGCGACTGCTAAGAAGGAGAAGGATGTAACACCAACAGAAGAAGCCTTACCAGTAGAGGTAGGGATAGAGGGAACACCGGAGGAAGGCGAGGCCGACGGCATTGGAATATCAGATGCGACTTCGTCCGAAGGGGTAGGAACTTCAGACGCCTGGCTGATTGCAGTCGATACAGGTGGGAATATACCCTCAGTAACTTCGGACGTAGTGAAAGCTGGAGTACTAATAACACCAGAAGGTGATATTTCGAAAGAAGTACCAGCAATCGTAGTGGACATCGAGTTTGTGGCCAAAGAGGCTGGACCGGAGGTTGCCGGACCAGAGGTAGTAGGACCAGAGGTAGCTGGACCGGAGGTAGCAGGACCAGAGGTAGCAGGACCAGAGGTAGCAGGACCAGAGGTAGCAGGACCAGAGGTAGCAGGACCAGAGGTAGCAGGACCAGAGGTAGCTGGACCAGAGGTAGCAGGACCAGAAGTCGCAGGACC